GGGGTTCATTTGATTTCGTTTTCAGAGTTGTATTCCCCCATCCACATAATTAGATTGTTTTCGAAGAGGGTGGCTTTGACACTGCCTGTAAGAAACCAACGTGATGGAGTGAGGCACAGCACCCCAGCAGAAAGACGCAAATACTGGATCATAATAATAGATTGCCCTCCCCCCACCCCCCTTCTCCCCTCCCCTCCCTTCACCTTTATTGTTAACCGCATGATAATCGAACTAGCAGTCACGCGCCGGCTTATTAATTTCGCAAACTAAGTCAGTAAGTTCCAAATCACGGACAGTCTCTCATGTTTGCGACCTCAACACCTCACTTAATTGTACCGTTACAAAAACAATTTTAATTGCTGTGAGCAGAGCAATACTTCGACAGTTTTCAGATGAGAAATGTCTACCCTTCACCCTCTATTCCTCATATTATTGTCAAATTACAGCGGGTTGTCTCTTTTATTAAAAACGAATGATATTATTGATCAACGTCGTTCCTGGGCTAGAATAAAACTATTTTTTGTGCGGGACGGTTCTAGGGTTTTTTATTATTTATTTATTTATTTTATTTATTTATGTATTTGTTCATTTTTTTATTTATTTATTTATTTATTTATTTATTTATTTATTTATTTATTTGTTTATTTGTTGATTTATTTATTATGTTTTATTAATTAATTAATATATTTATGTACGCTTTATTTATCCATTTTTATACTTTTTAAATTTATTCAATTTTATCTCAATTTTGTTTTCATTTATTTTATGTTGCTGTTGTTGTTACGGGAGGAGGGGGGGGGGAATCGCACGTTACACATTAAAGGTACAAAAGCCAGCATGGAATGAGGTGTGAGTGTGATTAAACGAGCCAACAACCGAAGCCAGCGTTCAGTCCTCCAGGGATTTTTTTAACATCTACTCCTCACACTTCTTAATATCCTATCATCACCCCGACCCCATTGTTTGCCTTTTCCCCCGTTTTGAAGGCTCTAACCTTGAACGATTTTTGCCTCTCTCGATATCTTCGATATCTCCTCTCACCCCC